CTACATTGGATATAAAAAATCACTAAAAACACACACTGCACCCCGAGCTAATGAATATACACTAGAATATTACGATCATAACATCATCAGAACTAACCAAGATCAATTCTTAGACGACGATCGCTTCGCTAACCCACAAATCACCGAGACATTTTTCATTAAAACACCATATGTATTTACACTAAATATCTTCGATCGCAAGTTTGACCACATTATTTCAGAAGCACTAACAGACACACAAGCCTACGAAAGTTTTAAAGAACGCTTCCAAATATTTTCACTAACCTTTCATTTCCTTGCACCACATGAAAGAGATTTGCACTGCTCACACGATATTATGTTGCGCACTAAACAAACACACACATATACTTATTATCGTTTCATCCAAAATCACTTTGACCTACACACTCCCTCCAGACAACCACACCATCGTTTTCAATTCATCAATTCCAAATACACCTCACCATTCTTCCTTAACTTCACATATTGTATTAAAGATACTAACCTTCATGGTATTCTTCGAAATTATGATCCCATAACCCAAATGTATATTTTTTGTCCAATCACCAAGACCTTCAACGCAGAAGAATCCCGACCCTTCCTTATCCCACACGAGTTTGTACAACCTATAGAAATCCCCATTTTAGAATTCATCCATAACACTAAATTCAATCACAAATTATATAATCTAATCCAAAACACACCTTATGAATTTGCAGTTGGCACTGAAGAACTAACCACCATTAAAGCACTTCAATTGCTTTGGCCACTGCTTCAAACTAAAAATATCATCCGCATTTTAGCTAAATTACTAACAACTTCAGATCTCATCCACGACATCTTCCCCCACGGTTTCTTCCCCGACGACTAACAGGTAAGTATGAATTATACATATTACTAACTAATTTGAATATTAGAAACTCACCATTCTTTATCCATGTTTTCTTTAGAATTTTAGCCTTCATCCAACGATCATCTGAAAAATTCACAAAAGAAAAATAAAAAATAGCAAACTTCTTCAAAACTGTTTAAGAAATCCTATTAAATTTTTGCACCAACAATTGTATAAATATAATACCAATGCAGTAATTTAATCTATAAATTTTTCCCCCACAAGCAGTAAATCTAATAATGATGAAAATTTGTAACTTAATTTTCCCCAACAACTAGCAGTAAAATTGAAATTCTATGTAGTAAATTAATAAGAAGCAAATGCAGTACTAACCTTTTGATATTTCCATTCACTCGCACAAGAATTCTATCCAAACTCGCACAGCTCGCCCACGAAGAATTGTTTAAATAATGAATTTCAGTTTCAAGCTTTCACAACTCAACAACTCTAACATACGATAACAAGTTTCAAACTTTCCTTTAACCCGGTTGGAAAGGAATTATATACTAAACAAAACTAACCAATGCAGCTTACTAAACACCACAACACATAGCATAACAGCATGACTAAGAAAAAGGAAACCAACGGTACCCAAACCGGATTAACCCAGTTTAAAACTGGATAATTTATTCTTTTGAAGACTATTATAAAGTCTAAGAAAGAAATAATAAAACACAAAAAAGTCGAAAGACAAACCCATACCACAAACAATTTGATTTTTGAAAAAAGGACACAACCAACAAAACATAAGAAAAATCACAACAAACCCAACATAAAACGTTGTCACATAACAAGACCTCTCACAAAAACCGCATGCAATCATACTCCCACTCCTGGCCTAACCCACCAGGAAGGACGTCCTGAGCATGCTCTATAGCCGGCCTAACCCACCGTGCTACATCCACGCTTTGTGACCACACTCCTATTTTTAATAAAAGCTACTCAAGGGTGAGTAACTCTTCAAAATAACTGAACTAAAACAAAAAGCTTTTGTGAAAACAACTAACTAAAATCATAATTAAAAAATATTAAACTAATAAAAGTTTTATAAATGTAAATTACATTATGCAATACATAGATCAGAATACAACACCAAGGACGAACATCCAAAGACAAAACGACCTCACTACACTCGAGAAAGAATGGCCAACTACAATCAATATGCCGCTCACAATCACAACTCAAAGGATTTAGAGTACGACTTGACTTCGCAGAAAAGGACTTCATTGAACTAGACCAATGACCACCTCGATGTTCAAGTATACGCACAGATCCGAGTAACCAGGCATCCCCTCCACGCACAATCTCCACGCCATTCCTAGACAAGATCAAAACACAAAGAAGTTCTCATCAATGAAACAGAAAAACCTGACATAGCCAAACATTCTGAAATCAGATTTGAGTTTGTTGCGAAAACCCAGTCGTTGTCTTGAGAAGACACAACGATTGAATCTGGGACTTCTCTAATAAGAAAACCCAGAAGAAATAAGATGTTCGCCAAATACCAACGTCCATCATCCATCCTTTGAATTGCAGAAAGACTATTCTAAAAAACTCTGTAAAACCCGGATGGGTGGAACCTGATCTAAACTACATTTTATGATTCGATAAATTAGATATTTTACCAATGTAAAGTATTTAATATTAACCAATCATGATCCATCTGACTAACAATCCACTTATTTGTAAGTGCTGAAATTACTTGTAATTTCAGCACCAGAGAGATTTGAATTTAACTTAGAAATTAGCTGAACTCTCCCGAGTACTTCAGCAGCCGCAATAAACCAGTATACCCTAGATCTATTGAGCCTAGCAGAGACTAGTTAAACAACCTGAGACTAGATAGTATAAGAGTAAGATTAGGATCGGTATTAGACTAAGAAGTTGCACGAATCTATCCGGCCGAAAATAAGATAGCGTGACGAGCAGACGGTGTACCCTATCCGAAATTACTCTATGAGTTATACACTTCGGTCCTAACTCAGTACTGTTATCTCCTTGCCTTCTTCATGAATTTTTTAGTGTGGCTACTTTTCCTTCCCCCAATTATTTTATATTGTGGGATATCGAGTGATTTTAAAAGGTTAAGAATTAATATTATACATAATATTCAATTCGGTTTTCTTTTTTGCCCACATGCCACTTTTGATGTCTGTGACAATTGGAAAAGGCAATAAAAATCACCCCTCTCACCCCTGTCACCCCATTACAGCACACTTACCCCATCCCCCCCCCCCCCCACCATTTGTAAGTCCTTCACTCACCACAACTTCTCTCTCCCCACATAATTTAAATGTTGTCATGAGGGAATGGGGATAATTATTAGGTTGTTCGAATTGGGAGCTAAAAAGAAGAGAAAGGGTATCTAAAGTGTAGGGAAAGTAGTTTCGCAGAAGTTAAACAAATAATTAGGATTTGAAATCGAGTAGGTTGTGATGAAAAAAAAAGAGAAAAAATATGAAGAACAAAACGTGAAATTTGGAGAAGATTGGGAAAAATTTAACACCGATCATAATCCATAATAATACAATATATTAATTTTTAAATGGAATGTTGTGGATGTAAATTCTCTGAAAATAAAAATTTTTATGGGTTTCTAACCATTGCGTGGTCCTAAATTGTAATTATTGTTTTGAGAATGAATAAAGTATCAATAACTACTCATGGAACCTCAGTGCGGGAATGACCTATTGTTTCTAGAAAAATCATTTACATGAAACAAATAAAATCAAAACACCAAAGCATAAAAAAAACGCTCCCAAATAATGATACAATTCTATATAAATCATTTTTAATCGAAGATGAAAAGTAAACTTATTCTTTTCAACCAGAATGAATCTACTATTTGAAGTGAAACCAAATTAGATGGCCAGGTTTTGTAGCAGCTCTCACTGATGTCGGAACACAAAACAGAACTGCTTCTGCTAATAAGAGTTTTTAGCAAGAGGCACAGAAGGAAACTCTAAAAAAAGCTTGAAAGTTTAGCAAGTAAAAGTCACATGAATGGTGAATATGCATAAACCATAAACAAGAATTAAAAAAACCACTACAGTCAAAGTTACAATCAATATAAATCATTTAAAAATTCAGGTAACCAATCCAAAAAAAAACACAATTCTACCTTGAAATAGTCATAAAGCTATATATTACTACAACATCAGAAACACATTAGATTCTCACCTTGAAACAATTATAGAGCTATGTATTACTGCAACAAATGTCAGGCAAGAAAAACATCAACTCTGATTGTTGACAACTTGATCTAAACCAACTTAAGTAAAACAATCTAGCCTCTTAAGTGTTGCCGCGAGTTGAGCAAAGGAAGAAAACTATGTTTGCCTTTATGTTTGGTTATATTTTCCAGTCTATTTTCGAGTCGAAGTATGAGTCCGTGTTCGTATCTATGTTCGAGTCCGTGTTCGAGTCCATGTTTGCGTTTATGATCGAGGAGTCCATGTTCGACTCCATGATCGAATCCAAGTTCGAGTGCATGTTCGAGTCCATGTTCGAATCCAAATTCGAGTGCATGTCGGCGTCCATCTTCGCGTCCATATTCGAGTCCTTGTTGGCATCGATGATCGCGCTCATGTTCGAGTCCATATTCGAGTCAACGTTGGCGACCATATTCGCGTCCATGTTGGAGTCCATGTTCGCGCCCATATTCGAGTCCCTGTTCTCGTCCATCGTCGAGCCCGTAATCGCGTCCATCTTTGAGTCCATGTTCGCGTCCATGTTCGAGTCAGTATTCGCGTCCAAATTCGCGTACCTGTTCGTGTCAAGTTTCGCGAATAGATTCGCATTCAAGTTTGCGTCAATTATCGCGTCCTTGTAGAGCCTATGTTCGCGTTCATGTTTGCATCCATGTTCGGGTCCAGATTCGCGTCCATGTTCGCGTCCACGTTCGCCTCCATGTTCTCATCGATGTTCGCATTCATGTCCGAGTCCTTGTTCGCATCGATGGTTGCGTTCATCCTGGAGTCCATTTTCGAGTCAATGTTGGCAACCATATTTGCGTTCATGTTCGACTCCATATTCGCACCCATATTCGAGTCCATGTTTTCGTCCATCTCGAGCCCGTATTCGCGCCCATGTTTGAGTCAATGTTCGCTTACCTGTTCATGTCAAGTTTAGCGATTAGATTCGCATTCATGTTTGCGTCAATTTTCGCGTCCTTTTTAGAGCCCATGTTCGCGTCCAGGTTTGCAACCATGTTCGCGTCCAGATTCGCGTCCATGTTCGCGTCCGCGTTCGCCTCCATGTTCTCATCGATGTTCGCATTCATATCCGAGTCCTTGTTTGTATCGATGGTTGCGTTCATCCTGGAGTCCATGTTCGAGTCAATGTTCGCGACCATATTTGCGTCCATGTTCGACTCCATTTTCGCGCCCAAATTCGAGTCCAGGTTCGCGTCCATGTACGAGTCCGTATTCGCGTCCATGTTCGCATACATATTCGCGTCAAGTATCGCGTCTAGATTCGTATTCATCTTCGCGTCAATTTTCGCGTCTTATGTTCGCGTCTACTTTCGCGTCCATGTTCTCATCAAGTTCGAGTCTAAGCTCGCGTTCATGTTCGAGTCCATATATGGGTTTTATTTGCGACCAAATTCGTGACCATGTTCGAGTCCATGTTCGATCCATGTTCGCCACCGTGTTAACGTCTTTGCTTTCGTCCATGTTCGCGTCTAGTATCGCGTCCATAATCGCGTCTAATTCCGCGTCCATGTCCACGTTCATCTTCGCATCCTTGTTCGATTCAAAGTTCTTGCCCATGTTCGTGTCCTTGTTTGAGTTCTCATTCGCGTCCAGGTTCGCTTCCATGTTCGCGTCCATGTTCGAGTCCATGATCGAGTCCATGTTCGCGTCCATTTTTTTGTCCATGTTCGCGCCCAGATTCGCGTCCAGATTCAATGTTCTTGCCCAAGCTTGTGTCCTTGTTTGAGTTCTCATTCGCGTCCAGGATCGCTTCCATGTTCGCGTCCGTATGCGCGTCCATGTTCGAGTCTCTTGTCCATGTTCCATGCTCTTGTCCATGTTCGAGTCCATGTTCGCGTCTATGTTCGCGTCCAAGCTTTTGTCCATATTCGCGTGCAGGTTCGCGTCCAATTCCACATCCAAGTTGGCGTCCATATTCGCATCCATATTCGGGTCCATGTTTGCAATTATGTGCGTCCTCTCGTAGCGCCTATGTTCGCGTTCAGATTCACGTTCATATTTGTATCCTTATTCGATTCAATGTACTTGTTTCTGTTTGAATTCTCTTTCAGGTCCGTGTTAGCGACCATGTTCGCGTCCAGGTTCGCTTCCAAGCTTTTGTCCATATTCGCGTGCAGGTTCGCGTCCAATTCCACATCCAAGCTCGCGTCCATATTCGCATCCATACTCGGGTCCACATTCGTAATTATGTGCGTCCTATCGTAGCGTCTATGTTCGCGTTCAGATTCAAGTTCTTATTCATATCCTTATTCGATTCAATGTACTTGTTTCTGCTTGAATTCTCTTTCAGGTCCGTGTTAGCGTCCATGTTCGCGTCCAGGTTCGCGTCCAAGTTCGTGTCCTTGTTCGAGTCCATATTCACGTATGTTCTCATCAATGCTGGCGTCTCTGTTCGCGTCCAGGTTTGCGTCCATATTCCGTCCATGTTCGCGCCAGTGTTCGCTCTAGATTCGCGTCCATGTTCGCGTCCAAATTCGCGTGCCTGTTGGCGTCCATGTTCGCGTCCAGATTCGCGTCCATGTTCGCGTCCAGACTCGCGTCCATGTTCGCGTCCATGTTCGCGTCCAAATTCGCGTGTCTGTTGGCGTCGATGCTAGTGTCCATGCTGGCGTCTATGTTCAAGTCTAATTCTTGTCGATGTTCGCGTCCTTAATCACATGCATGTTTATGTCCATGCATCAAGCACACGTCCAGGTCCGCATCCATTTTTTCGTCCACATTCGCGTCATATTCGCGTCAATATTCCAGTCCATGTCTGCGTTCTTGTTCGCGACCAAACTCGCGTCCAGATTCGTGTCGGCATTCGAGTTGATGTTCGCGTCCCTGTACAATTGAATGCTCTTGTCCATGTTCGCATCCTTGTTTCAGTAAATATTCGAGACCAGGGTTGCATCCATAATCGTATCCAGGTTTGCATCAATGTTCAATTCCATGTGTGCGTCCAAAGTTGTGACCATGTTGGCGTCCATGTTCGATTCAATGTTATTGTACATATTCGCGCCCTTGTTTCAGTTCTTGTTCGCATCCATATTTGCGTCCATAATCGAGTCCACATTTGCGTCAATGGTCGAGTCCAGGCTTACGTCAATGTTCGCGTTCTTGTTCGAGTCCATGTTCGCGTCCGTGTTAGCATCCATATTTGCAGTCATGTATGCGTCTATGTTCGCGACCATATTCTCGGTCATGTTGACATCTAGATTCGTGTCCTTGTTCGCGTCTATGTTCGCTTCCATGTTCGCGTCCATGTTCGCGTCCATACTTTTGTCCATGTTCGCGCCCAGATTCGCGTCCATTTTGGCGTCCCTCTTCGCGTATAACTTAGAGCGTATGTTCTCATCCATGTTGGCGTCTCTGTTCGCATCCAGGTTTGAGTCCATGTTCGCGCCAGTGTTCGCTCCAGATTCGCGTCCAAGTTCGCGTCCAAATTCGCGTGCCTGTTGGCGTCGATGCTAGTGTCCATGCTGGCGTCTATGTTCAAGTCTAATTCTTGTCGATGTTCGCGTCCTTGATCACATGCATGTTTATGTCCATGCATCAAGCACACGTCCAGGTCAGCATCCATTTTTTCGTCCACATTCGCGTCATATTCGCGTCAATATTCCAGTCCATGTCTGCGTTCTTGTTCGCGACCAAACTCGCGTCCAGATTCGCGTCGGGATTCGAGTTCATGTTCGCGTCCCTGTACAATTGAATGCTTTTGTCCATGTTCGCATCCTTGTTTCAGTCAGTATTCGATACCAGAGTTGCATCCATGATCGTATCCAGGTTTGCATCCATGTTCGATTCCATGTGTGCGTCCAAATTTGCGACAATGTTCGCGTCCATGTTCGATTCAATGTTCTTGTATATATTCGCGCCCTTGTTTCAGTTCTTGTTCGCATCCATATTTGCGTCCATAATCGAGTCCGGATTTGCGTCAATGGTCGAGTCCAGGTTTAAGTCAATGTTCGCGTTCTTGTTCGAGTCCATGTTCGCGTCCGTGTTAGCATCCATATTTGCAGTCATGTATGCGTCTACGTTCGCGACCATTTTCGCGGCCATGTTATCATCTAGATTCGTGTCCTTGTTCGCGTCCATGTTAGCGTCCATGTTTGCGTTCATATTCGCAGGCATGTTCCGGACTATGCATCAAGGACACGCCCATCATCTCATTTATGATCGAGCTCATAATCGCGTCCAACTCACGTCCATGTCCGAGTTCATGATCCACTCCAATTTCTTGTCCATGTTCGCGTCCATGCTCGAGTCCATGTTGGAGTCCATGCATGCGTTCATGTTCGAGCCAAGGTTTGCGGCGATTTTTGCATCCATGTGTGCGTTCATATTTGCGGCTAAACTCGCGTCCAGATTTGCCTCTCTATTCGCGTTCATCTTTGCGCTCATGTTCGATTTAATGCTTTCGTCGATGTTTGAGTCTATGATCGAGTTCATGTTTGGGTCCATGCTCGCGTCTAGATGCGAGTCCATGTTCGATTCAATGTTCTTGTCCATATTTGCGCCCTTGTTTCAGTTCTTGTTCGCATCCATGTTTGCGTCCTTAGTCGAGTCCAGATTTGCGTCAATGGTCGAGTCCAGGTTTGCGTCAATGTTCGCGATCTTGTTCGAATCCATGTTCGCGTCCGTGTTAGCATCCATATTTGCAGTCATGTATGCGTCTATATTCGCGACCATATTCTCGGCCATGTTGACATAAAGATTCGTGTCCTTGTTCGCGTCTATGTTCGCTTCCATGTTCGCGTCCATGTTCGCGTCCATACTTTTGTCCATGTTCGCGCCCAGATTCGCGTCCAGATTCAATGTTCTTGCCCAAGCGCGTGTCCTTGTTTGAGTTCTCAATCGCGTCCAGGTTCGCTTCCATGTTCGCGTCCGTATTCACGTCCATGTTCGAGTACATGCTCTTGTCCGTGTTCGAGTCCATGTTCACGTCCATGTTCGCGTCCATGTTCGCGTCCAAGCTTTTATCCATATTCGCGCTTAGATTCGCGCCCATATGCGCGTCCATGTTCGCGACCAACTCCACATCCAATTTCGCGTCCATATTCGCTTCCATATTTGGGTCCATGTTCGTAATTATGTGAGTACTATCTTAGCGTCTATGCTCGCGTTCAGATTCACGTTCATACTCGTATCCTTATTCGATTCAATATTCTTGGTTCTGTTTGAATTCTCTTTCAGGTCCGTGTTAGCGTCAATGTTCGCGTCCAGGTCCGCGTCCATGTTCGTGTCCCTGTTCGAGTCCATATTCGCGTCCATGTTCGCGTCCATGTTCGAGTCCGTGTGTGCTTTCAGTTTTTGTCCATTTTCGCGTCTTTGTTTCAAGCTACATTCGCGTCCATGTTTGAGTCCATGATCGCGTTAAGGTTTGCCTCCAAGTTCAGATTCATGTTCGCGTCCAAATTTTTGTCCACGTTCGCCTCCATATTCTCATTCATGTTAGCGTCCATTTTGGCGTCCCTCTTCGAGTATAACTTTGAGTGTATGTTCTCATCCATGTTGGCGTCTCTGTTCGCGTCCAGGTTTGCGTCCATGTTCGCACCAGTGTTCCCTCTAGATTCGCGTCCATGTTCGCGTCCAAATTCGCGTGCAGGTTGGCGTCCATGTTTGCGTCCAGATTCGCGTCCATGTTGGCGTCCAAATTCGCGTGCCTGTTGGCGTCCAAGCTAGTTTCCATACTGGCGTCTATGTTCAAGTCTAATTCTTGTCGATGTTCGCGTCCTTAATCACATGCATGTTCATGTCCATGCATCAAGCACACGTCCAGGTCCGCATCCATTTTTGCGTCAGCATTCGCGTTATATTCGCGTCAATATTCCAGTCCATGTCTGCGTTCTTGTTCGCGACCAAAGTCGCGTCCAGATTCGCGTCGAGATTCGAGTTCATGTTCGCGTCCCTGTACAATTGAATGCTCTTGTCCGTGTTCGCATCCTTGTTTCAGTCAATATTCGAGACCTGGGTTGCATGATCGTATCCAAGTTTGCATCCATGTTCGATTCCATGTGTGCGTCCAAAGTTGCGACCATCTTCGCGTCCATTTCGATTCAATGTTCTTGTCCATATTCGCGCCCTTATATCAGTTCTTGTTCGCATCCATATTTGCGTCCATATTCGAGTCCAGATTTGCGTCAACGGTCGAGTCCATGTTCGAGTCCATGTTAGCATCCATATTTGCAGTCAAGTATGCGTCTATGTTCGCGACCATATTCTGGGCCATGTTGTCATCTAGATTCGTGTCCTTGTTCGCGTTCATGATCGCGTCCATGTTTGCGTTCAAATTCGCAGGCATGTTCACGACTGTGCATCAAGGACACGCCCATCATCTCATTTATGATCGAGCTCATAATCGCGTCCATCTCACGTCCATGTCCGAGTTCAAGATCAACTTCAATTTCTTGTCAATATTCGCGTCCATGTTCGAGTCCATGTTGGAGTCCATGCATGCGTTCATATTCGAGCCGAGGTTTGCGGCAATTTTTGCATCCATGTGTGCGTTCATTTTTGCGGCTAAACTCGCGTCCAGATTTGCCTCTCTATTCGCGTTGATTTTTGCGCTCATGTTCGAGTTAATGTTTTCGTCAATGTTTGAGTCCATGATCGAGTCCATGTTTGGGTCCATGTTCGCGTCTAGATACGATTCAATGCTCGTGTCAGTGTTCAAGTCCATGTGTGCGTCCATGTATGCGACTAAAATTGCGTCCATGTTCGCGTCTAGACTCGATTCCACGTCCAGGTCCATGTACTATTGATTGCTCTTGTCCATGTTTGCGGCAATGTTCGTGTTCATGTTCGCTCCAAAATCTCGTACATGTTCGCTTCCATCTTCGATTCTATGCTCGCGTCCAAACTCGCGAATAGTTTCGTTTTCTTGTTCGCGTCCATGTGCAAGTCCATGTCGGCGTCCATGTTTGCGTCCAGGCTTGCGTCCATACCCGCGTCTATGTTCGCTCCAAGATTTGAGTCCATGTTCGCGGCCATTTTCGCGTGCCTGTTTGCGTCCACGTTCGCGTCCATGCTAGTGTCCTAGATCACGTCCATGTTCGCGTATAGATTCCAGTCCTTGTTCGCGTCCATGCTCAAGTCCAAGTTGTTGTCCCAGTTTGCGTCATTATTGGCATGCATGCCAGCTTCCATAAATCGAGGACTCGTCCATGTTCGGATCCATGTTACTCTCCATATACGCGTCCATATTCTCGTATGTTTTCGTGTCCTTGTTCGCGACCCTGATCAAGCTCGAGTTCTTGTTCATGTTCGCGTACATATCCGCGTGCCTGTTCTTGTCCATGCTATTGTCATTGATCGCGTCTATGTTTGCATATAGATTCGAGTCCTTGTTCGCGTCCATGTTCAAGTCCAAGTTTTTGACCACGTTAGCGTCCATACATCAAAGACATGTCCATGGTCGGATCCATGTTACCGTCCATATACGCGTCCATGTTCGCGTGCATATTCGAGTGTATGTTGGCGTCCATGGTGGCGTCCACGTTTGCGTCTGGTTTTGCGTCCATGTCGGCGCCCATGTTCGCTCCAGATTCGCTTCCATGTTCGGAACAATTTTTGCGTGCCTGTTTTTGTCCATGTTCGCTTCCATGCTAGTGTCCATGCTCGCGTCCTTGTTCGCGACCTTGTTCAGAATCAAGTTCTTGCTCATGTTCGCGTACATATTCGCGTGGCTGTTCGCGTCCTTGCTTTTGTCATTGATCGCGTCTTTCGTGTAACACTCTATTCAAAATCCCGTGCTCAAACTCTCAGAGATTATAAGTTTAGCGGAAAATTTCTGAAAAGGAAGTACATTGCTCCCAAGTTTCAAACGAAAATTAAATCAGTTTCGATCATGAATCGTTTTACTAGAGTGATATCAAACGACTTCTATATCTTGACCCTAAAGACTGAAAAATGAACTAAAACAATCAAAGGTAAAGTCACAAAAAATAGTACTCGAACATTTGTAAATTTTCGCGTTCTTCTAGATTCAGTCTATCGAGCACAACTTGAACAACATCAAGGCCATATACAAATAGTTGAAAACAATTCATTATCACGGTAACCACGGACGCTTAAAGTAAGATATACACAATAAAAAATCGATACCTCATATCGAAATTAACGATCCATCAAGTGAAAGCCAACATAAAAAACTCAAGATGTCAAGAAATAATGTTTTTTGATTAAAAAAACCAACTTGAAAAGTTCAAATTACACGTGATTTAAAAGATGGCATAAAAATATATCAAGGATTCCGCTTACTTTAGAAGAATGATCACGAGTATTGCGACCCAATCACTCGCACCAAGCAACTATTGTTTGGTTTCCTGAAAACAGATGTACCAATTTTCAAGTCGCCAAAATTCATGCTAGAATGATAAAATTTCACAAAAATTATTTTAAAGATTCTATGCCATTTAAACACCTACACCCTATTCGATGAAGATATGACAAAAAACCCTATAGAAACATGCAAGCAAAAGAAAAAAAGCGAAATGTTTTCAATTAAACCCTGAAACAGAATAAGCAGGCATATATTGGAAACCACTTTTTCGAACACAAAATTCAGAAAAAATAGTCAATTATGAAAAAAGTTTTGTCAATGGTCTCAAACTAACCATCTTTTTAGCACAAAATGAGCCGTGATATTAGATCACTGAATCGTTTTATCTCTTGTCCCTCCAAGCTCCACCGACATTACCCTGTCATATCAATCTCCGGCATCACTTTTTCTCCCTTATCAGTTTTCAGCCCTACTTTTTCCCCGTTCATCCAACTCACCTCAATTGATCTCTAATGATTCATTCAAACTGTTTTTGATACTCAAAACACACTAAAAAATCCCGCCATGACACCCAAAAGATTTTTTAGACTCCAAATCGAGCCCCACTAATTTTTCGCAACCACCTTTTGTCCCAATATTTCCCTCAACTCTTGTAGCACTCTCCACGTTCAGCTGCTCCTTTACCGACGATACCCCCGACGTTGCCCTTGTTTCCAGTAATGTACCTGATACCCCCAGCGCCATGACCGATGACCTCTTGAGCCTGATCTCGATTAATTGATACACAACCGACAACTCTTCACAATACTAATCAACATCCTATTATCCATCTATTACCCAGTCCGCTTTGCCTTCAGATTCATTCACATCAACCATTCGCAACGCTACCCCCCGTGCTCAGCGAATGCTCATCATCACAACTTACTCGAAGTAACCACCCTCACCATTTCAATGTCGATATCGTAGATAAAATGTTTTTCTCTACTATATCTTCATCTATTGGTAAATTATCCGTCAAAACTCCATGAAACTGTTTTAGATCAAAGCTGCTTAATTCAAGAAAATCATTAAAGATCTTGAACTTGGATCTTTGAAGACTAGTTTTTCAAAACACATGAACTGCAAGCACTCGAAACAAACACAAATTGTCGTTGTATGGTTGTTTGGTGTTTTGATCCGAAACCAAATAACTGACACGGTTTTTCCTCAGAACTGGTTCGAGAATCACTGAGTCTGGATATCCCATGGGTACGTTATCGAGTGAGGTAGCAAAAATGGTCAATTTTGTGACCAACTTGAATCACAATTTTGTATTTTGTCTCTCTTGTGCACAAACTTTAACGATATCTTACTTATTGGCCTTGTTCTGTATATTCGTCAAGTCTACTTTAGTACAAAGCAGCATACATTTACCAAAAATGTAGTTATTTTCATGAGCGTAGAAAAAACGATATTCAACAGTTTCTGTATTACGTAACACAAATCCCAAGGCAGTGTTATTTTTTGCTGCACAATCAAGTTTTTCGAAAGACGTAGTTCAGAAAATTGAAAACTGAATTCCCTCTGGAGTCCATTTTCCATCGCGGTGTCTGTCAAGAAGTGTTGACAGGCTTTGTATTTATCTTGAAGTGTTGACAGGCATTGTAGCTGATCACTAACCTCCTCCTTTTCCAAATCAGCAAAAAAACACACATTTTCCTCGCTTTCATTCCTTGATGTTTTCTGGGACGTTGCTGGAATGATTTTTAGCCTGAAAATTGTTTATCAAATGATACACATTTTGTCAACTTCCTGGGATTTTTTGGGTTCAAAGTTTGTTGTTCTATGCAAACGAACTACAGGTGCTCGAAACAAACACAGTTAATCATTGTACGGATGACGCTTTGTGTCTGAAATCGAGCAGTTTACTTAGCACCAAGCAGCATAAATTTATCAAAGATGGTGTTGTTTTCATTAGCGTAGAAATAACCCTATTCACCGGTTTCTGTATTAAGTAACACAAGTCCCTAGGCAGTGTTAATTTTTGTTGCACAATCAAGTTTTTCAAAGGATCTAGTTCAGAAAGTTGAAAATTTAATACCCTCTGAAGTCCAATTCCTTCGCGGTGCCTGTCTACTTATCTTGAAGTCTTGACAGGCATTGTAGCTGATCACTAACCTCCTCCTTTTTGCAAATCAGCAAAACAATCATTCATTTTCATAGCTTTCTTTTCTTGATCTTTTCTACGACGTTGTTGAAGTGGTTTATAGCATGAAAATTGTTTCTCACACGATACACTTTTTGTCGACCTTTTGATGTTTTTGGGTTTCAAAATTTGTTGTTCTATGCAAAAGAATTACAAGTGCTCGAAACAAACACAAGTACTCCTTGTATGGATGACACTATGTGTCCCAAATGAAACAGTACAAACTTAGTACAAAGCAGCATAGATTTATCAAAAAAGGTGTTATTTTCATGAGCGTAGAAAAAGTATATTTGCTGGTTTCTATTTTAAAGCACACAAAAACACAAAACACAAGTTAATGTTAAAATTTGCTCTGCAATCAAATTTTTCAAAGACTTGATCCAGTTTTCCATTAACTAGATTAGGATCAGAATTGGAAAGTTGAAAGTTCAACACCTTGTGGTGTCCATTTTTCATCTCGGTTTCAGTCAAGAAGTGCTGAAAGGCATTCAAATCAACTCGTAAATGGTCCCTATCCTCCTCGTTTTCCATGAGTTTATTCATACAGCAAAAGAATCACTCTTTTGCCTCGCCTTCAACTCGTGATCTCTCTTTTGATGTATTTGAAGTTAATAAAAGCGATACACACAAGGTTGATTTTCGGGTTGACTCTGCCTGCTTCTTGATCGCACTTTGTACAAAGTATAGAGCGATTGCTTTTAAGAAAAATTTAGCAAAGGGAAGCTGAAACCTGAATGGACACGACTACAGAATAGATAAGGAAAATCTACTCTTTTTGGTTAGGCCCACACATTTGAGTTGAAGATTCCCTCACTTTTTAGTTAAAATCATTTTA